TACATGTTATTCCACTTAACTTCTTTGATCATGCACAGAGGTTTCATTTCAATTCATTTTCAATAAGGACGTGTTCATAATAGTTCATACACTTAAACATGGTAATGCAATATCCTTACTTCATTTCTAATACATCCTATAGCTCATATGGACACGTTTGTGCGGTATAACTCGTGCTCTGATACCACTCTATCACGACCCAAACTCGCCCTTATAGGTTTACCATCGTAACCGGCTAGTAATCCTTGGACTACTGAAGGCCTCTGAACAGATTAACAAAATTAAGGGGCTAGCGGAAGCAAATACATAATTATAATTGTCCAATGAACTGTGCTGACTTATATGAAATAGAATATTTAAAACTTTATGTACATAACCGGTAGTCATACATTATACCCACACACATTTCAGTATTTTAAGTACAACCAACGACATCAAATCAAGTCTTAAATAAACAGAAACCACAGAACTTAAACACAGGACGCTTCGGGAACCTCCACGTGAGGCACAATGGTTGGCTGACAACAGAACACATATCCAGACAAAAGCCTTCAGGCTCGGGCTCTAGAATGCTCACCTATACATATATATACACACAATGAGCTAAAGCCCAATGAATAACATTAAGGTAAAGGGTTTAGTGAACGAAATCTGAATGTATCATAAGCAGAAAACAGAACAGAGCATAATCATAATCGTTCTCATATCAGAACATAATAATGGTACATCTCATAGAACACATCACAGAACATCTTCTGACTAGAGTAATCGGTTCCGGATAACACATGTCACCACAATGAAGTAGCTAACGAGATCTCGTAAACTTGTATGTCATGGACCCGCATTTTCATGTCGTCCCCCATGACTTAGGACTATCTATGGATGCCATAATAGATTTCAAACTTGGGATATTCGTTCACGTAAACAGATATCATTTAAGAAATCATAGCTTATCACATTTCATTTGGAACATAATTCATATCAACATATCTTTACAGAAATGTTACTCACAGTGGTTCCAGTAAGTGGTCAATCAATCCTCGAGTCTTGATCTACAATCACAAAATACATAACACAAGCATGTCTTATCATTACACATTCATGTGGCCAACACGGCTTAGCTTACATCATATTGATTCTTGTTCTTCCTTAACACATTGCTCAAAACACACTCTTGAATCTCATAACTTAGTACATTCATTCCTTAGTGTGTTTCTAATCTATAACCTCATTACTATGGCTTAATTAAGGCTTAGGAATGCCTAAGATGCAATGAGGATGACAAAACATGCCTTAGAGCACTTAGTCAAATTTCTGAAAATAAAGTCTACGCTCGAGCGTAGGTTTCCTCGCTCGAGCGGACATGCAAAACATGAATGGTCGCTCGAGCGCACATTCCTTCGCTCGAGCGATCTATAAAAGACATGAAACTTCTGGGAGCTTACAATTCACGCTCGAGCGGACTTTTGGTCGCTCGAGCGGAGTGCACGCACTCAGAGTGATCGCTCGAGCGTGAACTTCCACGCTCGAGCGTGGATGCAAATTCTGGAATTTCCAGATTGCACCTTCAAGCTCAAAACTCGAATTCCAACCTTCAAAACACATCTCTTGGGCCCTAAAACTCGAGATAACATAGTAAACTTGTCAAACACGAAGAATTTAGGATTATTTCATAAAATCATGGCCCAAGGGTTTGTTAAAAACTCACAATTTCAACTTAAAACATGATGAATGTTCACGAAAACAATATGCATGAATTTTTCTTGTATCAAACTTCTCAAAACATGGTCAAACACCACAAAACAACTTGAAACTTAATGATTTCCCCAAATGGAGATGAATTTCAAACATGCAAAAGAGATTTCATGAAAATCATGCTTAATTTGTAAGAAAATGTACATGCATGCATAAATTGCCACTCAAACCTTCCTTCTAAGTGCAATACACACCCTTAAATACATAATCTTCATGTTGATAGCTTAGATTCATAATTTAGGGGTTGAATTCATACCTATAGTCTTGAATTAATCTAGCTCTAGCTTAGTTTTGATGAATCTAAGCCAATGTCTTCAATTCTCCTTCAATTCCTTCATCTCTCTCTCTAAAATTGCTCACACTCTCTCTCTAAAAGAAAACCTCAGATTTTTCCACTCAAGGGAGATGAAACAAAATGAGTTCAAATGAGCTTATTAGGCTCATATAAGCTTATGGTGCTAAAACACATTAATTAGAACATAAGGCTTGCCAAATGCGACTTAACGAATCAGACTGAATCAATTTTTAATAAAATTTGCCATAAGGTTCTAAAAATTCCAAATAACATATCGGTGTAGTCAATTTCGGTTTCGGATGCCGATAAGGCTTTTAATTTACATATTAAAGTGAAATTCCAAACAGATATTTCTACAAGTAACAGATAGTAAGCCAACTATCATGCAAATCACATAATAAACCATAATTTATTTTATTTACTTAATTAACATCCTTAACTATCGATTAGTGGCTAATTGTGGATTGGGGTTATTACAGCTCGCCCTCGAGGTCATTTACTTGCTTTAATTAGTTAGTGTAGCTAGTTATTCAATTCAAATGTTATAATTATTTAATTAGCTTAGCATAGCTAGTTATTCAATTTTGATTTGTAATAATTAGTTAACTAGAATAGTTAATCAGTTGCGGTTTGTAATAGCTTAGCTTAATTAGCGTAGCTAGTTGGCTTTCATTTCATTCGGACCCTCCTTTGTGAGGGCATAATGTTGTAATAAGTGTGCGTGTTTGTATGCATGTCTTCCAACCCCACGTCTTTCTCTCTTTTACTTAAATCGCTTTCGATAGTTAGTTTAGGGTATATTTCAATTAGCATACTTTATGCTCGCATGTTTGTATCATTCATTTGTCTTGCATGCACCGAAACTCGGCGCATCATTCAAACTGCATCGCAATTTCAATACTTTGATGAATACATGCTTAGACCACACGCTATCAAATTGTTGCAAATCATATGTCATATTAGTAGCCGAGCCTGTTAATTGCATCTTTTGCATGTGTTGCATTAGTCATTTAACATAGTTAGGATAAAAAATGTTTACAGTGAAGTGGATTTTGGGTGTTGATGTTTTTGACAAATGTTGGAGTTCAAATGGAGCAAGTCATTCACTAGTGACAATGATACAAACATGAAGTGAGAAGCCAAGTAAGAAGTGATTGTGGGGGCGACGCTGTCACTCTGTTCTTCCATTTCTTTGCTTTTGCCGTCAATGGAGATTTTGAGCATCTAAAAGAAGTCATCTTTGAATTTGTGAGTGTTAGCCTCCGTCACATTTGAAAAACGTTACATGAAAAAATGATTGTCGTTTTTTGGTCCAAACTCGATCCCTAATAATGTCTCACAAGACATCCTTTTAATTCTAACTCCACATGATATTTCTTGGTCATTTTCCTGGTGACAGTAGACTTTTTGTTTTGGATTTGGTCCAAGAAGAGTACGTCAACAGTATTAATTAGTTGAGAGATTTAAAAAAAGAAAGAAAAAAAAAAGAAAGATAAAACGTGAATAAAATATATTTATATTTTATTTAATTTTACACATCTTTTTCCTTTTAATTTTTAAATCTCTTATCAAATTTCTCATTAAAAAAAAAAAAAACAGTAATAGTTAAAATTATCCATTAATATAAAAACAATAATATCCATTCAATCACAATTGGGGCCAAATGAATTTCTGGTCTTTTTCATGATGTGCCCACCAGTAGTGCAAACAAACATATTGGGACACCAAACAAAGGAGTAATTTGTTTAGTATTTAAATTAATTACGTAGTAAAATTTTTTTATGAGTGTGATTTCATGATATTAAGAATAACTCAGTCAGTATGATCAAAAGTATGACATAAACAATCCCATATAATATTTTAAAAATATCTAATAATTTTTCATCGATAGGATACATTTTGTTGGGCCTCATACAGATATGACTTGATAATATATTTGATAAAAGAACTGGTTGGTATATGTGGCAAAGTTGTAAAGAAGAAAATGGGGCTAGAAATACCGTCTACAATCTTTTTTTTTTTTTTTTTTTTTTTCTCCTTCTTAATACACCATTAATTATTGAATTATATAAAAATTTTGAAATATTAGAATCTTTCAATAATTAATATTTAAACCATAAAATTAAAGAGAAAATTATTAGATACTCTCGAAGTATCAATATCATGTAACATTGGCTACGTACTACAACACACACTAAGTATATTATTCTTTTCTTTTCAGTTATCTAACAAAAGTGAGTCAACATATTTCATATATAAATTTTTTTTGCTACATTATTAGTTTGGAATACTATATTAATAATACCACATGATGGTCAAGAACTTCTGAATAATTACTATAACAAATTAAATATTTAGGAATAATTAAAATTTAGAGAAAACATCACCTCTTGTCAGAAGTGTCATTATTACATTTTTAGTGACAAAATCAGAGATCTAATAATGAATTACTAATTTTTTTGTTTTTATTTATTTATTTATTTATATTTTTTTTTGGGGGGAGAAAACAACTTTTGGCATGAAATTATTTTATTCCAAAAAATGTGTTAATTAGTAACATTTTTTAAAATTGTCACTAAAAGTTTTTTTTTGAATTTTTGGAATGACTTTTTTGTGACAATTCACACTACGACTAATTTTTTTTTTTATGCAACAGTATTTTCACTTTTATGAATGAAAAAGTTTGGGTTGTAAAATCTTTAGATATCATAGTGAATTACTTTAAAAAAAAATTTATTAAATAGGATCCTTGTGTGAAAAAGGTATGAATTAGAGAAGGCTGAGCAAGCCGCTCTTAATAAAATATTCCTTTGGGCTGCCAAAACGAATCTAAAGAAGAAAAAACAGAAGTAATCATATTCACACTGGACTGACAATGTCACCACATATATATATATATATATATTTTGGGTACATCGGAAAGTGAAAAAACAAGCAAAAGAAACAAACAGCAAAACAGACTAAGGTCCACTGGAACCCTTCCTATGTTAGCTTTGCCCAATCATATCAGCCACAACTTGGTTTCGGATCCCAATCATATATATATACTTGTGTGCATAAATATGTGACATACATGTGCCTCTCTTGGGTGTGTTATTACATTAGCCCATTTTCATTCATATGTGTTTTTCATTTGACAACAAATGTCACAAATAGATATGTTTACAACACAAACAATATCACCTCTCTGTTCTATTTTTGGTTCATCGAAAACTTTTCCCTTTCCCTTCACAAATGAAACAGACCGTCAAGCTCTGTTTTCAATCAAAGACATGATATCAGGAGATCCCCTTGGTATCCTCAACTCATGGAATCATTCTATCCACTTTTGCAATTGGCACGGAGTCTCATGCGGTCGTCGACATCAGCGTGTGACCGTTCTAAACCTGCCATCTCTAGGATTGGTGGGTCCTCTATCTCCTTACATAGGGAACCTCACCTTTCTTAGGATGATTGATCTTAGTAACAATAGTTTTCATGGTGAAATTCCACTAGAAATTGGCAAGTTGTTTCGTTTGCAATATCTTCAACTTTTCATTAACTCTTTTGAAGGTGAATTTCCTGCCAATTTGACTTATTGTTCAGACTTGAGAGTAATCAGCCTAGTTGATAACAATCTAGGAGGTAAAATTCCTGCCGAGTTGGGTTCTTTGTCCAACCTCATTAAATTTAGTGTTGCTAAAAATCATTTCACCGGACCTATCCCACTTTCGCTTGGAAACCTTTCCAATCTTGTCGGGCTTTCTCTATCGCACAATAATCTAGAGGGAAGCATTCCATTTGAACTTGCTCGATTCTCAAAGTTGCAAATTCTTATTCTGGGCTTTAACAATTTTTCCGGTATGGTTCCTACATCTCTTTACAATATCTCATCCATCACTTACTTTTCTGTAAATGACAACCAATTGCATGGAAGCTTTCCCTCCAATTTGGGCTTGACCCTTCCAAAACTACAAGCTTTCCATATCGGAAGCAATCAATTCTATGGGCCTATTCCCTCTTCGATAGCCAATGCTTCGGGACTTGTAGAAATTGAGACTAGCCAAAATTCTCTTACTGGTCCTCTACCAATGAATTTTGGAACCCTTTATGAGCTACAAAAGCTAAATAGTCACACTAATAGACTAGGAACAGGAGATAGGAAGGGCAATGAGTTGATGGACTTTCTCACTTCTTTATCTAATTGTTCCAACCTACAATGGTTGGACATGGCAATAAATGGTTTCAAAAGTTTATTGCCCGATTCCATTGCAAATCTCTCCACCACAATCACTAGGTTAACTCTAGATGGAAACTATATATTTGGTAGCATACCTCTTGGTATTGGAAACCTTGTAAATTTGCGTACACTCTATTTAAGTACCAACATGCTCGTTGGTAGTATTCCTAATTCCATTGGAAAACTCTCCAACTTGGAACAGTTGCTACTTCTCAGAAATAACATCTCTGGAGAAATTCCATCATTGATTGGAAACATTACTCGGCTTGGTATTCTTGACTTATCAATAAATATGATAGAGGGAAGCATACCAGTTTCTTTGGGCGATTGCACAAATCTAAGGGAATTTTATCTCGAAGACAATCACCTCACTGGAGATATACCTCAAGAAATCTTTGGTCTTTCTTCTCTTACTATTCTAATCTTGAGTCAAAATTACCTAAGGGGATTCCTACCACAAGAAGTGGGTAACTTGAAAAATCTTGAAAGATTGAACATATCAGAAAACAAACTGTTTGGAGAAATCCCTGCTACTCTCAGCAATTGTCAAGTTTTAGAATTCCTCTACATGATGGGTAACCTTTTCGAAGGTACAATTCCGGAATCCTTCAAACAACTAAAAGGTCTTCAAGTTCTTGATGTTTCTCGCAATAACTTGTCAAGACAAATTCCAAGCTTTTTAAGCGAGTTACCTCTTTTACAAAACCTCAATCTTTCTTACAATATGTTTGATGGTGAAATTCCAAATGGAGGAGTTTTCAGAAACATTAGTGCATTCTCAATTGTTGGAAATAAAAAGCTCTGTGGAGGAATTAAAGTATTACAATTGCCTGCATGTCCTGCTAAAGACTTGAAGGAAAGGAGACGACCTTTCAAGCGTAGAGCAATAGTTGTAGTAGTTACTCTCACTATTTTTCTATTAATAGTGTGCACTTCAGCTATTATTTATAGAACCAGAAGGTCCAGACAACATGCCTCTTCAACCCTGCCTTTGCAAAACCAACTTTTACAACTCTCTTATGGCGAAATTTTTCACGCAACCAATGGATTCTCTTCAACCAACTTAATTGGTGAGGGAAGATATGGATTGGTTTATAAAGGGATTCTCAAATTCGGCGAATTAATTGTTGCTGTGAAAGTACTCAAGCTTCATGAATGTGGAGCAATCAAGAGTTTTAAAACAGAATGTGAAGCACTGAAGAACATTCGCCATCGCAATCTAGTCAAGGTAATCACATCTTGCTCAAGCATTGATTTTGAAGGCAATGATTTTAAGGCATTGGTCTTTGAGTTCATGAAAAATGGGAGTTTAGAGAATTGGTTACATCCAATTAGTTTTTCAGAGCAACATGACCCTAATCACTTCACCTTTGTTCAAAGGCTAAACATTGCCATTGATGTGGCCACTGCGTTGGATTATCTTCATCATCATTGTGAAGTGGCTATCGTTCATTGCGATTTAAAGCCAAGTAATATTCTTCTTGATGATAATTTATGTGCCCATGTTGGTGATTTTGGCCTCACAAGGATTCTTTCAGCCACCACAGGTATATCCAATCATCATCAATCAAGTTCAACTGGGATTAGAGGAACAGTTGGATATGTTGCCCCAGGTAATTGCCTATATTTATTGTTCATTCCATTACATTGATTAAGAAATGTTATTTTTATTTTGTTTTATATTATTTATTTGTGGTGAACTATAAACTAAGACAAGTTTATGTACAAATTAATCCTCGTTCTAGTTATGCTATAGATCCTTCACATCACCAAGTTGGGTGTTTATCTACTGCAACAAATTAATGTAACTCTTGTTATATCCATTGGTAATTTATATTTTGAAATATTAAAGTTCTTTTACCAAAAGAAGGTATAAAAATAATTTGCTAGTTGAAAGATCATACCAGAATTTACTAATTTGGATTCTTCTTCATTATTTCATACTGCAGAGTATGGTATGGGTGAAGAGGTATCAACGCAGGGTGACATGTATAGCTTTGGAGTGTTACTATTGGAAATGTTCACAGGAAAAAGACCTACTGATAACATGTTCATTGATAATATTAACCTCCATATCTATGCAAAAAAGTCTCTTTCAGATCAAGTAATGCAGATTGTTGATCGCCGAATCATATTGGCAGAGGAAGAGGAGCCAAGTAGGGCCCAACAAAGTAGCACAAACAACATTTCTAAATTGGAGGTCTGTCTTGCATTGGTCATTCAAATTGGAGTTTCTTGTTCTGTTGAACTGCCACATGAGAGAATGAATGCTAGAGATGTTCTTATGGAACTACAGAAGATTAGAAATATATTTCTTGGGTTTAGGGAACAAAACTAAAGGCACACATGTAGCTTATTTTGATGTTCTTGTTCTCTGCTACCAATTGGTTCATATCTTGTGCTGTAAATTTTTTTTTTTATATGGTGCCCAAACTCTGATCAGTTTTAGAGTTTTTTGGGATTTCAAATCTGGTTCAGATCTAGGATTTTTGATGCGATGTTTGAACTAATCTAATCCAAGATCAAATTGATTAATGTGAACTCAAAAACTTTCACTAGATCTTTGTGATTAGAATTTCCACTTACTTTGTGGGGCTTAACTTGTAAATTGTGATCATACAGAAGTTGGTTAGTTCTGGGATAGTTTCACTATAATGTATAAGATTTTTAGGAATTAAATTTTTCCGTCCTAAAAATATATATTTTTTTGGTTAGAAAAAACATTAAGATTAATTCTTGTTGTCATGTGAGTTGTCATTGAAAAACTATCCCAAAAAGTATTAAAAAAAGGACCTTTACTGACAAAATTCTGAAAATGTAACTAATAAATGCATTTTGAAGAACAAAACAATTTTGTGTTTTTTTAATTTTTTAACCTTCTAAGACAAAAAAAAAAGGGTCCTAAAAGGGACAATAATTCATCATTAAATGTTCAATTTTGTTCCTAAAAAGACAAAAATGCTATTTTTAATAATTAAAATATTTCATAAATAAAAAGTGATTTTGTTCCAATTTTTTTTGTCTCTAAACCTTAAAATTTTTGTCTCTAAACCTTAATTTGTTGTAATATTTTTGTCGCAATATATTGATGAAAAAACTATCATAATAGGTTTATTGCAATGAAATAAATTTTTAAATTTTTTTTAAGCAAAAAAAATACAAAATGAAGTTTTCATCTCCACATATATAGTAAGAAAGGATCTTGATCTCTCCATTTCAAAGAAAATATTTCATTACATATTTAATGGTTTTAAAATATAATCATTTATTTGTTTATTTTACTTTGACAAGAGATTATAATAAATTTTTAGGCACTCGGTCCATAAATTCAAATTTAATTTTTTTTTGCCTAAGGTCCACGTCTTAAAATATATATATATATATATATATAAGGACAAACTCCTAAAAAATGACCAAATTATCCATATATATATATATATTATACGTTGCAAAATGCAAACCACCACCATATTCTCTCTCTCTCTCTCTCTTCATCTCTGACAATCATTCATGGAATTATTTATTAGATTTTGGAAGGATGGATGAGAAAAGGGAAAAGTAAGAGAGAGAAGCGGGAAAGTAGAAAATCTACACAAGACATTTTTTTGGAAAATACATTTCAGTCATTGTTTTATAATTTAAACAAATTTGAGTTATCCAAATGTCCTAGTAAAATAAAAATATGTTGAAGATTCAAAAATCCTCCTGCTTCATTATGTAAATACATATAAATTATATGTATTTTTTTGTTTGTTTCTGTAGTGGCACAAAATGAAAGAGACTGAGATGGGAACTAAGGATGTAACAATGGAGGCTCTCAAGAAGGAATCTGTGGATTTGGGAATACTGTTGTGTTGAAGTGCACGTCTGTATTATTTATACTAATTTATGTATAAACATACAAAATCACACAAAAGTATAAAATAAAATAAATAAATAAACTAATAAAGTGTATATTAAGAGATTAAATGTGCAACATTTAGGCATCGATCAGTACCATTTTATTTTACTCTGCTACATTATTAATTTGTTATGATTTCAGTTATTGTCTTGTTGTAATGCCAAATCTTTAAGGCCTTGTTTGAGAATAGACTTTTTTAGTAACTTTTTGACTTTTTGGCTAAAATATGATATTAAAAAACTAATATTTTGGGGTGACTTTTTGATTTTTACGAAAAGATGTGCAAAAAGTAGAGAGAAAAAGGGAATCTTTGACTTTTTGGTATAGATTGTTGACTTTTTAATTTTTTTAGTGACAGTCCCCTCGATAAGCGCTCATCTGGATTAACTAGTAAAAATATAATTTTTCCCTCCAAATATTTAAAACATGTTTGGTTTAGTTTTCAAAAACTAATTTTTATTTTTTTAAAAAAGATTTAAAAATTAGTTTTGTGAAAAAAATAAAAATAATTTTAAAGATAGTCATTTCCTAACTTTTAATTCAATGACTAAACAAAAATGTGATACATATCATTTCTAACTAAATAGTTCAGGGACTATGGGTGTATTTGGTTTGGTTTTGAAAGATAAAGTTTTTAAAAAATTCTTGGGAAAAGTGTTTAGAATTTTTTTTGGGTTTGTGTGGTTGTATATTTTGAAAACAGTTTTGGAGTATGAGAGTTTGTGATGATTTGATATTTTATTATAGTTGAGTAAATGTGTGTGAGAGAAAAAGTGATTAAGAAGGAGAGATGAGAGAAAAAAAAGTGATTGATTGATGTGTAAGAGAGAGAAAGTAATTTTAGAAATTTTATTCAAAAAAATTCCAACCAAACAAAATTTTGAATTTTTTTTTTTAAAAATAAAAAATTATGTTTTGAGAGTTAAACCAAACAAAGCCTATGTGTCTGAGGATTAATAGTTCAATAGATTACAATCCTTCCTTATCTAGTTCGCCCAAACAAACATGCATTTATTGTATAAAAACATCTAAAAATCATACAACTATATCCAAACCAAATCAAAACTAAAAATACTATATAACTTAACTCAATTATTTAATTAGAATTTCATCTCTATCCTTAGACAAAAAAATTACTACACTCTGATATTTACCAAGTAAACTTTTCCACTTTCCCTTTCTTTGCTTCTGCTAAAATACTATAAAATATATCTTTGTATTTAACTGATTAAGAGTTCATTGAATTATAATTAGTATAAAGATTTATTGTATTCAACTTGCTTAAAACAAGTTCATATAATATATTAAATCAAAACAAGCACTATTTAATCCAACACAATCCCTTATTACTTATGGTATCTGTAGTTCAAAAATAGCAAAAATGACTTCCCATCTCACAGGTGTTAAAAAAAGAATTATGACAGATAAAATATATTATGTACTTTTAACTAATTATTAATTTATAAAATACTTAGGACTTACAAAATAAAAAGAAAATATTTAAAATATATTATCTATAAACATATAAAATCACATAAAAGTATAAAATAATATAAATAAACAAACTAATAAAGTGTATATTAAGGGATTAACTATGTAACATTTAGGCATCGATCAGTACCATTTTATTCTACTCTGCTACACTATTAATTTGTTATGATTTCAGTTATTGTCTTGTTGTAATGCCGAATCTTTAACGTCTCGTTTGAGAGTAGGCTTTTTTAGTAACTTTTTGACTTTTTGGCTAAAATATGATATAAAAAAACTTAATATTTTGAGATGACTATTTAATTTTTTACGAAAAGATGTGCAAAAAGTAGAGAGAAAATAAAATTTTTGACTTTTTGGTATAGGCTGTTGACTTTTTAATTTTTTTAATGACTTTTTAACTTTTTGGCTAAAAAAGTCACTTGCTAAACGAGGCCTAAGGCCTCGTTTGGGAACAGGCTAATTTAGTAACTTTTTGGCTATTTGGCTAAAAAGGTAGGTAAAAAAAACTTGTATGTTTGGGATGACTTTTTGGCTAATTACGAAAAGATGTGCAAAAAGTAGAGAGAAAAGAGAATCTTTGACTTTTTGGTATGGGCTGTTGGCTTTTTGGCTAATTTAGTAACTTTTTGGCTAATTGGCTAAAATAGCCTCTTGCCAAACGAGGCCTAAGAATGGGTTTAGTTCATGGCAAAAGTAGTATTAGAGTAATGGTTTGTTTTAAAAAAATCATTGGAGCATATGACACATGCATGCACACTTAAGAAGTAAGATACAGGGTGATGGGCAGAAATTCATTTTTTTTTTTAATTTTTAAAATCATTATGTTTGTACCCTTCAATCACTACTTTGTCAAAAGCGAAAAAAAGCTGAGGGGATAAGTTTTGTCTCCTTTCAATCGCTACTTTGCCAAAAGCAAATAAAAGTTGAGGGGATGTTTTTGTGAATAATGTGTGCAACATGTTTTGCGTGAACAATGATTAATGTAATGATTAGAAATTATTATGTACAAATAGAAATTGTGGATTGAGTTCATTAAAACTCTTATTATGCAGTAATGGCTACTGATAGGAATGATACCGGGACTAGTAGAGCCGATCCAATAGAAATAATTGTACATAGAATTGTTGAAGGAGGTTGAACCACTCTTTGAGTGATGACCGGACGGTTGACCGACGGTGGTTTGTTGTTTCATGGTTCGAGTCCTTTCAACAAGTGTAAATGGGTGTGTTTAGGTTATTTTTGTATTTTATTGAGTTGTAGGCTCAACATCTAATTCAAAACTCATTCAATACAACTATTTTCAATTTCAATTTCCAAAAAAAAAAAAAAAATGTTTCCATGCTCAAGTACTGAGCCATTCACACCATGATGTGCAAAATGAAACTCTTCTCATTTAGGGTGAAACCCTGATCAAAGATTTACAAAAAAAAAAAGAGTTAAAGCTACACATAGGTGCTCAACTTCCAAACAAAAATACAAAAATACGTAGAAGTACAAAAAAGAAAAAAAATAGAGGAAAAAAAAATTAAAATACAAAAAAAAAAAAAGAAAAAAACAAAAAGAGGGTCTGTTTCAACTTCCAGCGATGTGTGAGAGTTCGGTAGCAACGGTCAGGTTGACCTCACTTACAGATGGTTTCACTGCTCGCCTCTCTTACCGATCGCTTCGTCTCAAAGTTCGTTCTAGGAACTCCTGGAAGGCCCTGCCTCAGAATTTGTAAGATTTTCGAAGGAAATCACCCCCCATTGGCCATCGAACGAGGGACACCAGAGGGCTATTGATCTGGCTGTAGTCGTTGCTCGTCGTTTCAACTCATTGTTCTACTTCTTCAACTGACTGATCTTCCATCGAGCATCATGTACATACGTTGGAAAAGGGAGAGTTGTGCACTTAGTCGCTGCACTTCGTTCGTTCTACTTTGTAACTGACGACACAAATTAGACATTGCAGTGAAGGCCTTCACACACAATTTCAGTGTGTGGGAGTTGGCATCAATGCCAAACTGGGTTGCCAGTAGTTGGTCAAGAAACATTGCTGGAGGATTGAGAACAGTGGTAGGGGTACTTTGAGCAGGCTCTGAGGAGCTAGTATCAGGTACCTTATCTAGAGTTTGGTTGAGG